AATACATTTATGTGGACATATGTTTAAAGTGATTTAGTAATACTAGTAAATCAAATATGGGCTGTCCAAAAAGAATTTCACTAATCCATAATTACTAGTTAAGTAAAAAGATTTTAATTTGTTTTTAAAAGATTATTTTAATTTTGAAACGCTAGTCAGTAACTATGTCACAAAAAAAAATGGAGCAATATTCACCAAAAAAAAAAAAGATTGAGCAATTTGGTTATTTTATTCATCGGAAAGAAACTCCTACCGAACATTGATTTGAAAAATTAGTCAATGATTTAGTAGAAAATAAAGGAGAAAAATTATATTTTAGAAAATATTACTTTTTTTTTTGTCACAAGAAAATATTATTCAGTTTGTTGATTTTCTTATGTTAAGTGACAATAATATTTATTATTCTAAAAGAGTGTTTTTTGGATGAATAAGGATATTTTATTTAGGTTTTAACTGCTTCTGTATGCTATTTGTGTTAGCACGGCTCCGTTGTCGCGTTGGAACTTTTGGGATCAAACAGAGCTGGGTCCGAGTATATGCCAAAATCGTTGATAGAAAAATTCCAGTGAAGCCATCATCAGTTCCCGGAGCACTGCTTCCTACACGCTGCGGTGCCTTTTTAATCTCCTCACAGTGCAGTGAGAATCGTGTTCATCTCAGAAGAAACAAACAGAGACTCTAGATCAAGTGGGTCGGTGCTGGTAAAGAGATCTCTAAACTACTCAGCAGCGATGTTTCCTTTCGAGCCTTCCTTAAGGAAAAAAACCTCTTGGAGTCTTGGTTTAGAAAGAAAACAAAAATCAATTTTTCATCTTTGATCATTGAACCAAAACAATAGAAGTGGGAATACGAAATAAGAAGCTGTTAGGAGAAAAATAGTTTGAAAACAAAATGTTAAACATGTGATTGGTAACGTTTTACCATTACAGTAAGAGACTTGAGAGATGTACCGGTAATATGTTACCGATAACAAAAGCGATAAAGCAACAGCGGTATCAAAAACAATAGCATCAATTTTTTTGTATGGCCTTGTAGTATTTTTACTATTCTCTCTTACTTTTTTTAACTATTCAGTCATCACACTCATATATTTGCTAACTATTCCGTTATCGCTCATAAAAGTTGTCCATTATATCTATAAAGTGGTCTTAATATCACAATACCAAAACAAATCCTTTAACCGGCAACAGATATGACTCCATAATCACCCATAACC